TTCTTCATTGTTCGACTGTTTAGATTTTAATATGGATTTGCTTTATTTGCATTATCCAGGTGTTACTGTGCAGACAGGCAGACCTGATGTTGCTTAATCAGACAATGAAACTCGTCATAGTGAAACTGCTCCACCTTTTAGAACAAGGGTTTGGTGCTAATTGCCTGCTTAGAAAGGCAAAAGGAGTAATATTAACATTTTAGATTTTTAGGTTCATATTTTTCACTATATATTTGAGGTTTTACTGACATGAATATAATATTTCAGATATTTACATATATATAGTGCACACACAAAAAAATATTTGTTGAATTTAAAACAACCCTACAAATGTTCACACACACTTAATTCTTACAACTGTGTTACTACCTGAATTATCCTGAATTAATTTTTTCAGTGGTTGTTTTTAAGTCCATTGTTTGACCTAAACAGTTCTTTTTTTCAGTACTTCTAAAAAAAACATCAGGTCCCACATTTTTGCTTATTTGAACTCCTCCAAAAATGGCTGATTTTAAAATCAATCCTTTCACACTGTTGACAACTGAGGGATTTTATGCAACTGTTACATTCTCAGAAATAAAGGTATGTGAGCTGTCACTTGGGGTCCATATTGGTACCTCAAGAGTATATATTAGTACCTAAAAATTTTAAAGGAACACTTTTGTACTTTTTTTGTTCCACCTTTAATTGACAGGACAGTATAGAGAATTGACAGGAAAGCATAGGGAGCAGAGAGAGGGGAAGGGGAAGGAGGGGAATCAAACTCGGGTCACTGTGAGCAACGGAGTGCATGAGTCAACGCACTAACCACTACATGACTGGCACTGACTTGTACTTTTTAGGTACTAATATGTACCCTTGAGATATGATTGTAGATCTTTTAGGTACATATGTGTTCCTTTTGAAAAGTTACCACCCAAGTGACAGCTGGCAATTACTGTACACTCAAAAAATATATTTTTAACTTGTTCAAACTACTTATTTAAAATGAGTTGAAAAAACACAATTCTTGAGTTTTCATTGGCACAACTTAATATTTTTGTTCAATCCAGATAAATTTGTTAAATATGTTAAGTTAACTTAATTTGTGTTGGGACAACATGAATGGTGTGGAACCCTGCATTTTTTACAGTATACCTTTATTTCTGAGCGTGTACAGAAGGTTCAAACGCTCACTGACGCTAAGAAAAAATTGCATTAAAAGTCAGAGAGTGAAAACGTTTTGAATTTGAAGATCAGGGTAAACTTTTTTAGATTTACATTTCTTTTTTATATACTTTATGTATTTTATGTTGTGTGTGTTATATGTAATTATCTTCTGTACCTTGTGAAATGAAATAATACACGAACAACAACTACAAGAAGATATTTATGTAAATAAGTATGTCATCTGTTAGCCTGTTAAAAAGGCAGCTCACCCAAAAAGTATACATTTACTAACCATCAAGAGGTTCCAAACCTTTATGAGTTTTTTTTATTCTGTTGAACACAAAAGAAGAAATTTTGAAGAGAGCTGAAAGCTAAAAATTTGACATCCTTATTAGGAAAATAAATACTAAATGCTTACAGGTTTTTAGCTTTCTTCTAAATGTCTTATTTTGTGTTCATTCATTCACCCTAGCCCCTTTATTAATCTGGGGTCACCACAAGGGAATGAACCAACAACTTATCCAGCATACTCCACCACGGTGACTGCACAAGACTTTTGACCAGCGGAGAAATTAAAATGGTCGTGCCCAACTGAGTCTGGTTCTCTCAAGGTTTTTTTTATTCACTCCTATCAGGTGAAGTTTTTTTTCCCTCTCCGCTGTCGCCACTGGCTCGCATGGTTCAGGATTGGTAGAGCTACGCATCGATGAATTTGCTCTTCAGTGTTTGAACTCTCAGTAATGATTTTAAATCGCACTGAACTGAGCTAAACTGAACTGAACTGAACTTAAACACTAAAAACTGAACTACACTGTTCCAGTTACTATGACCATTTATGTGAAGCTGCTTTGACACAATCTACATTGTAAAAGCGCTATACAAATAAAGCTGAATTGAATTGAATACTGTATGTTTTACGCATCGGATGCCCTTCCAGCTGCCACCCATCTTTATACATGCTCAATCCACACATACACTACAGACAATTTAGCTTACCCAATTCACCTATATAGTGCATGTCTTTGGACTGTGGGGGAAGCGGGAGCACCCAGAGGAAACCCACATGAAAACAGAGAACATGCAAACTTCACACACAAATGCCAACTGACCCAGTCGAGGCTCGAAACAGCAACCTTTTTTTTTTTTGGTCAAATAAGTTTTATAGAAGACTGAGAATTAGAAAGAAAAGTATTCTCTGTTTACATATTTTTCCACATACAACATAGGCAAAGCAAATAAAATAAATAAAGGAAAAACAATATGAAAATCATAATAATAATAAAAAAAACACTCATATAACAAGCATACTTGTTTCAAAGACCTGTTTGAACAACAGAGTATGATGAAAAAGCATGTTAAAGCATTACAGAAATGATGCATTATTATGAATGTTTTTTTCAAGGTAACAAATAAAAGGATTCCAAATTTTGTCAAATTGTTCAAGTTTTCTTTTTCAAATAGTATCTAATTCACTCCAAATGTAACATAGAGGCAAGTACTCCAAGCCACCATTTAAACTAGCGACCTTCTTGCTGTGAGGCAATCATGCGACCCACTGTGCCACCGAGTCAGGTTTGGAACAAGTGAAGGATGAGAAAACATTGACAAGACTTTCAGTTTTGGGTCACCTTTGCATATTTTTTTTCTTCTTGCTATGATTAAAAATTGTTGATATTTCAGCAGAAGATATGAGAAAAAGCCTGAATTATTCACACACTGCTGTTGGTATTTCTCACAATGGGACAATATCAGATTTTATATACGTGACCCTTTATATAGAGTAAAGTGGCAGGCAGAAATATGTGAATGACTGTTTTTAGACTATTGCTCATGTTAACACACATTAGATAATACAGTGTCTGTCTGTCTATAGACTTGCATGAGTCTATGTCTGTGTGCCAGTCTGTGCATGATTTGTGGTTTAAAGACTGTACAGGAAGTTTGAAACCAGACTTGTACGTGCCCAAGTAAACCCTGTCTATATTTGTTTGACATTTAACAGCAAAGTGTACATGACACATACAAATGTGGAATTGTAATATATTTTGTGATTATAATAGCTCAAATGAGTTGAGTAACAATTAACAATAAGTTTGTATTAGTTAATGCATTTACTGACATGAAAAAAAAAGCAATGAACAATACATTTATTACAGCATTTGTTCATTATGGATAACGACAGTTAATGAAAATACAGTTGTTTAATGTTAGTTCATGTACGAAGCATTAACTAATGTTAAAAAGCATGCATTTGGATGTTAGTAAGGTATTATTAAATGTTGAACCCTGATTAATAAGTGTTGTTAAAAGTATTGTTCATTAGTTCATATTAAAAAATAACTAACATTAACTAATAAAACCTTATTGTTAATTGACCATGAGTTGTTTCCTGTGTAACCGTGCATTAAAAATGCAGTAAATAATAGTATAGCAGGACATAATAAAATAACTGAATAATAAAAAAACAAAAATAAGTTTTCATTAATAATAATTGTAACCTCGGGGAGTGACACAAACAACTGAGGTGTGGATCCACGTGCAGGTTTATTAGAATCGTCAGGCAAGCAGTGGTCAATACAGAGGCAAACAGATGTATGAGGGCAATCCAGAGTCGAAGTCAAAATATCAGGCAGATGGTCAGAGGCAGGCAGCAAACAGAATTAAATAAATAAACAAGGCAAGGATCAAAACACGGCAAAGGCAGACAAAGGAAACGCATTGTAATGTCACTGTGACAGATAAAAGTGAATGACTCCGTAAAGTGAATGAGTGAGTGTGTAGCTTAAGTAGTGTGTGCAATCAGTCTCTGACAATTCTCAGGTGGTGCGAGTAATCAGTCTAGATGAGGAAGCATGTGTGAGTGCATGTATGAATATGTAGTCCAGAAATGGTGGATTTGTAGTCCATGGTTATTGTTAGTGCAAACCAGCGATCTTATGGCATATGACCGCTGGTAATCGTGACAAATAATAATTTCTTACATTTATATAGCGCTTTTCTAGACACTCAAAGCGCTTTACACATTGGGGGGAATCTCCACTTCCACCATCAGTGTGCAGCATCCACCTGGATGACACAACGGCAGCCATATTGCACCAGACCGCACACTAGCTGATCGGTGGAAAGAAGACAGAGTGATGAAGCCACTTATGATATAAAGAGGGTAAGGAGGCCATGATGGACAGAGGCCAGTGGGCAAACTTGGCAAAACTTAAACCCGTACTCTTTTTCGAAGGACATCCTGGGATTTTTCAAGACCACAGAGAGTCGAGACCTCGGTTTAACGTCTCATCCGAAAGACGAAATTAACATGCTGAAGTTTTTGCATAATTGTTGCTTCTTTATATTCATCATCTGGCTGAATTCGTATTCTCCTAATGCAAATATTGTCATTGTTGACAACTTAATACCTAGATCTTCAATCAAGTGATAGTGACTCTTGTGTAATTGTGTACACTCACAGTACTGCCCTTTCTTGATTTTGTGTTCTTGAAATATTGTTTATAATTAATAGACTTAAAAAAGCTGCAAGGTAATGAATGAGATGGAGGGTAGTGAATCATATCCAGGATTTATAAAGGCTCATGGTATGTATTTAAGGGTTAATGTCTGATGGCAGATAGTGCTTCCTAGTAGGAGTATAAAGTAAAGAATTAAATACTCAAACAACAAAAAGCCGGAGGACCTTTTTGTAGATTTTCTTACTCAGAAGAATGTCATGATTGTCAAGCTTTTGATTTGTTTTATATGTTGGTTAGTCTTTAAGGACAAAAAAAAACATTCAAATATGTAATTCAGAGATTGGTCAGGTGAATATTCATTGCACTAAATCAAACAGTGCTGTCCTTTTTTTCTTCAAGAGGTGGAGTCTAACATTGCACTTACTCTAGCCCATGTAATAGGTTTGGTAATATGTGTTAACAGTTTTAAGAGGACACACATTATTCTAGAAAAGGATAAACCTTTTTTGAAGTATTTTTCTGAGCTCACAGATATTAAGGAGACCGACATGGAGACACATGGGAAACAAGGTGAAGTTTTTCTACAACACCAGAAACATGGTGAGGTAAGACATCATTAAGACATTGTAATATACGTTATTCAAAACAGGTTGAACTATGCTTTTATGTCAACTTTAAACTATTAAATGTTCTGAATAAGAAAGTATTTGACATTTTTTGTACTCATTTAACGCTTCTGGTATTGATGTTCTGTGTTTGATATTTGACCAAGCTTAGAGCTGTCATATAAAAAGATACAATATAAATATTTGCTTGTATGTTTTTTGATATAGCTCATAATGCATCAGAGGTTTTGCCTGTAAAACCTCTGGTGTAAGGTTTTGTTCTAGTATGACATGGATGAAACGGGACTGCCTTTACAAGTTGAAACTTGGTGTGCACATCACAGTTCTTGCTTTTCATTTTCGGCACATTCCTTTGACAAAACACGCCCTCTTGAGTTCACTTGATGGCGTATGACGTTCGAGCCCTGCCTTAAACACACACACACACACACAATACATGTGAGGTAAACCAGGTATTGGCTGCGTGAGTAATCTACATAGCTCCAACTTCAAAAGCCTTTTAAGTACTTTCAACAAAGAGCAGTCCAGAGGTGTGATTATTACCTGAAGCGCCACTTCCATCCATCATTCCTTACTGAATTTAATGATGCTTAGCGTATTTCACTAAAGTTCCATTGATATAACTCATTAACCATGCTTGTAGGAATTAACCAGCTCTGGTATTTGTACAAAAAAGAAAGTGTTTATACGAATGGTAATCATTATAAAACAAGGTTAATTATTGTAAGGGATTGCTCATGGAAATAACGAATGTAATTGACTATCGTATGTTTGTTATTAACAGAAGTGGAAGAGATATTGGTTGGCCCTTCATCCGGCCAGTCGGCACGGTATTGCACGGTTAGAGTTGTCAGAAGCTATTCAAGAACGGTCAACTGTGGTGGTCAGACGGCATCCAGAAAGGAAGGTCATCCGTCTGGCTGACTGCGTGAGTGTTGTTAAGCTGCCTCCTCATGCAGAGGCTTGTCCTGGAGAAAACATGGCCGCTTTTTGTGTGGAGACCGAGGAGAAGAGGCTGGTGTTCGCAGCAGAGAGAGAAAGCTGTGGAGAATGGGTGAATATCATATGTAACATCGCCTTTCAGGTGAGGGTTGGATTTTTCTGTTTATATATCAGCATTAAAAGGTTTTGTTGTCTGATTTTTTAAAACAGATATTAATAGATTATTAAGCAACATTTTACAATGTTACAAAAGATTTACATTTTATTAATGCAGTTCTTTTGATTTTCCTATTCTTCAAAGAGTTCTGAAACAGCAGTGGTATCAGCATTAATAAAAGTAGAGATGTCATTAAATGAATATTTTAAAATATATATTTGAAAGTAAAAAACTTTTTAAGTTGTAATAATATTTCACTATACTGCTGTTTATATATTATTAAATACATACAACCTTGGTGAGTACAAGACTCACCAAGACACAAAATCTTATAGACCCCAGACATTGTAAAAACAAATATTAAAAGCTGTATAAAGTACAGGCCACCACACCGGGCCTACTGCACCCAACCTGCACTGAGCTGGGATTGAACCGGCGATTCTGTGATTACGCCACATTCACATGGAGCGTCAGAGTCAACGCTTCCCATTCACTTTGAATGTGTGATGTCAGGCATTGCCGAACTGCATTGTGGATACATCGGCACCACTTCAGAGGGGTTGCTCGCTGCAGACGTTGGGACTAGTTCAACATTTCAAGCGCCGACGGAAGCGTCAGCCAATCAGATTGCTGTATGTAAATACACCAGCTAGACATTGGCCTATTGCTGACTGAATTTCATTGGCTGATGCTGCTATGACGATCGCGGCAGCCCCAACTTAAGACACGCCTTCAGTCAAGTGTTGACACTGAACCCCCGTGTGAATGGAGCGTTAGAGTCGGTTGCTCTAAAAAGGAGGCTAAAGACCAAGGCCTCTATAGCGTATGTTGCTAGTAGGTATGGGACGATAACCATTTTCAAGGTATACCACGGTTTGGAAAAGTCAAGGTTTTAAAAACGCCAAAATTTTCTGCTATACTGTTCCTAAGGTTTGTGAAAGATATTTTATTTACATTTTTTAGGACAACAGTATCTTCAGCCGAAAAAAAATATCCAAATATGTCGTTTTTGAATTGTAAAGCTTGAATTGAAACTAATGAAAAGAGCAGAATTCAATGATTATTTTGAATTATTTAGCCTGATATGTTTACTGCTCTGAAATATTATAAATGTTTAAAAACTAAATATATTATATTCAAATTGAAAAAAAGTTTTAGTTTTTACCCAGGCATTTAAAAAGAATATATTTTAGAGCAGTAATCACAATACCATAATACAGTGAAACCGTGATATTTTTATCCAAGGTTATCATACCTGATATCTGATTATCATCAGAATCTTATACCGGCCCATGCCTAGTTGCTAGAGCATCTATTGAGGTCAGAGGAGTGAGGTTTACCTGCATAACTCTTCACTAGCTGGCCTCCGTTACACTCACCCCCCTAAACCTCACTCCCATCCCGGACGAGCCCCCACATGTAACCCACCGATCCTACTGCACTGGCCTCCATTAAGGTTCTTTAATAAAACGCAAAATACTACAGACAAATAACATGTGCTGTCTACTTTTTTTTTGTCTGCATTAGTTTTTCTAAGTTTTATGATTGTTTTCTGTGTTACAGAAACAAACTAAAAGTGCTCCACTGCCGGTACCACATATGGAGGATAATCAGATCTACATGTCTAGAGAACAATGTGAGTAAACACAGATGTCAAATCTATCAGATCAACATGATGTCATGGTCCTGAAAAACCAGTCTCACGACCTTAACTCTTTCACCCATCATATGTACTTGTATAAAGATTGAATTGATAATTGTTGATATGGTTTGCAGCACTTTCCACACTTTCCAAACCTGTTTGAGTTTCTTTCTTCAGTTAAACAAAAAAAAAAAAGATATACTGAGGAAAAGCAGTCATTGATAGTATTTTTTATTCATATACTATAGATGTCAATGGTTGCTTTTTTCCAGCATTCTTCAGAATATCTTGTCTTGGGTTCAACAGAATAAACAAATATTTATAATTTCAGAACCACTTTAGTACGAGAAAAAGTTACATTTTTAAACGCCTTCAAGTTAAATCCTGATTAACTTATATTTAAGCTCTGGTTCATTTTAGTGTCCGAGTTCAAAGTGGTAGTGCTACAAAGCGATGCTTCAGTCCGCTGTGGCCTAAAAGGACAGTACTGGCTGCAGACAGGTGAAGATATGCTGCTTATACAAGATCTGGACACCAGGAGGACAGTGATGGAGTGGCCATACAAGCTACTGCGCCGTTATGGTCGAGATAAGGCAAGTAGAGAAAAATATGTAGTAACACTTTAATATGGGACCAAGGTTATTTTAGTAAACAAAAACTAAGCTATTTTTTTTTTAAATTTCACAGTTTTTTTTTTTTAACTAAAATCAAATGAAACTGAAATAAAATAATATTCAGGATTTTCTAAAAGAATCTCCTGTAGATCAGGAGAAAACAGTCAAGAAAAAAACTACATTCTCAAAGTTTCATAAATTAATTTAGAGAGGACACGTGATATGATTGAGCACAACTGGCTGTTCATCTGTAATCAGTGATAATCCAATCAGAGTATCCAAGCTTACAATAAATAGAGTGATTTTTCCCTACTGCTCTATCTTCGTTTAGGAAGAATGCTCCCTTCCACCCCATCTCCTCCTTTTCCTCCCTTTTCTAAGGGGAGCTCTCAAGACCTACCTGATCTCACATCCCCTTATATGCTTATTGCTCGGGCGGAAGCCTTGGGGCCTAATTATATCAGAGCTCAGGATTCTTTCCCGGGACAGCATGCCAAACCTGCTATTATCAGCAAACATATCTAAGTGGGAACTCAACAAATGAACATAAAATGTATTATAAGTTTTCTTCATTAGTTAAAAATAAAAAAACAAGTCGTAATTTTTCTTACTTTTATTGTTTTAAGTTGTATTTGTATGGTTCTGGATTTAGTGTCCTGCAGATTTTAGCTCCAGCTTGCCTCAACTCACCTGCAAGAATGTTTTTAGAATGCCTAGTGAATCTGCGGTCACACTGCACTTTTCTCCCCATAGACTTCCATTCATACGCACACGAATGCGCCAGACTTGAAACGCAAGCTCATGTGAAAAGTTTTACAGGCCGCTGCAATGCAAAGTTCAAGTTTGGTAAACTCTAACCTGCGAAATCGCATCACTTGACTGTGTGAGACCAATCGAAGATCAAAACATGACCTCTCTAGACAGGAATTTAAAATATGGATATAATGTCTAATAATCTCGTTTAATCCCGCCCCTTTTCGCAGCGCCGCACAACAGACTTTCACAAGCTCAAACTCTAGTGTGACTGCAGCATAAGAGCTTGATTAGCTAGCCCAGTTGTGTCCGAATGGGGTTGGAACTATGCAGGACACGGGCTCTCCAGGACAGAGTTTAGGCACTGCTGGTTTAAGCAATTCATTTATTTTTATCAAGAGGTTTACAAAGAGTTACAATAAACTTTGCCCTGGTCAACACCATCTGTTAATTCTGATAACTACAATTACTAAATCTGAACCTAATATTCATTCATTAATTTGTTTACCTTTGGCTTACTCTCACATACACACATGCACTCATACACTACAGCCAAATTAGTTCATCCCATTCATCTATAGCGCATATCTTTGGACTGTGGGGGAAACACGAGCACCCAGAGGAAACCCACGTCAACAAGGGGAGAACATGCAAACTCCACACAGAAATACCAACTGGTCCAGCCAGGACTTGAAGCAGCGACTTTCTTGCTGTGAGAGGACAGTGCTTACCACTGAGCCACCATGCCGCCCTGAAACTAAATATATAAAGAAATAATAGAAATAATCACAAAAAAAGTAAAAATAATATCAAAATTCATTCCTTTATTTTCTTTTCGGCTTAATCCCTTTATTAATCAGGGGTCACCACTGCGGAAATGAGCCGCCAACTTATCCAGCATATGTTGTACGCAGCGGATGTTCTTGCAGCTAAAACCCATCACTGGGAAACACCCATACACATTCATTCACTCATACACTATGGCCAATTTAGCTTACCCTATTAAGTTGTACCGCATGTCTTTGGACTTGTGGAGGAAACCAGAGCACCCGGAAGAGACCCACACTAAGACAGGGAGAAAATGCAAACTCTACACAGAAATGGCAAAGGACCCAGCCGGGGCTCGTTCTTGATGTGAGGCGATTGTGCTACCCACTGCACCACCGTGCAGCCTTGTATCAAAACGTCCTAAATTCAGAAATGCTAATAATGTTAATCGTGACCAGTTCTTTTTTTAAACTACTTGCTTATTACCATATTATTTTTTTCAAGATTTTATTTTCTCTAAAGTGTATACACATGTCTGTTTTTCTCCAGATGCTGTTTTCTATAGAAGCAGGCCGACGCTGTGAATCAGGTCCAGGGACCTTTAACTTTGAGACCCAACAGAGTGAAGAGATCCTTCGCCTCATTGAGTCTGCTATTCGCCAACAGAAGAGCCTCAGTGTTGCTAGAGAGAGGCACTCGCCACATTCTCCACGCTCTCGTTCTCCTCGCTCCCCCCTGCCCAAACGCCCTGAAAGTTTGCTTTCGCTTGACGCAGAGGGCAACAGCAGCCCTAATTCAGCAGATGCCCTCGGTCCAAACTTCAGCCCCATCTCAAATCCTGCACATATAAAACCTGCAAGTCCTATTTGCTTAACCGAAGTTGTGTATGCAAACCCTGCAGATTCCCTAAGATCATCACAAATGACGCACTCGGATCCTGCTGACTTGATTGAGCCTGTGTATTCAAGTCCCACAGTTTTAATAGGCAAGCATGAGCCTGTGTACGCACAGCCAGATCTCATTAAATCTCTTCATTCTTTAAAAGACGATCCTCTCCCAACTCCTTATAAAGATGAGCCAGTGTATTCTGACCCGGTTGATGTCATCCGCCCAAAAGCCAACACTTGTGTTCAGGCCAATCCTACTAACACAACAGACATTCAACCTAAAACAGTGTCAAACAATGTCAAGCATCCAGAACCTGTATACTCTGAGGTGTATGACCACATTGCACTAATCTCCCGTAAGAAAGCTGACCAGACGTTTGAGGAGCCCATTTATAGTGTGCCTGAAGTTGTAAAGTCAACTCAAAACAATAATTTGCAACAAAACAAAATGCCTGAGGAGCACCAACCTATCTACAGCAAAGTCAACAAACCACCCAAAACTCCTTACAAAGATAAGAAGCCAAGCCTAACGTCAGAAATTGTCTCTGAGGACCTTGGACTAATTTAATTAAATATGCAACTGAATATGTCTTCCCAAACATGCAGTCTTTTTAAATATTTTATTCCAAAATTTTTGAAAATGTATATTTTAATAATTTATTGACTCACTATAAAAATGTGCGTTGGAATTATGACTGAGCGATTTTTTTTTAAATGTGCATATCATGTAAAAGTCGGCTGCATCCAAAAGCACATACTTACTACACATATTACATAGTGGTTAAAAAAAGGTGACAATATATTTATTTCTGAAATTCAAATGACATTAATATTACATTTAAGTTTATATTTAATCTACACATATAAAGTACAATACAATAAAATGCACTTTTTAGTGGTTCCAAAGTCATTATTTATACAAATAAAACAGTATTTGATTTTGGTTGCAGTCATTGTTTTAGGAATTTTATTTCCATATATATATATATCACATGTATCTTTTTCTTTTTACCACAGCAGGATTAAAGCATAATTTTATTATATAAATCAATTGTGTGGCTTCATGTGATCGAACACTTGCAGATACTCAAACACAGATGCCTCATAAGCAGATTCTCTTTGGGATGCTCTATGCTAGATTTGGCTTGGATTTGGGAGATGAGAGGGTCTGCTCTGCAGTTCTATCAATGGACACATACAGAAGAAAACATATTTATATATTTATATATATGACCGAGAGAGCTTAACGTGCTGCAATTTAAGAAAACACATGCAATTAAAAAGAACGCCAGCAAATTAAGAAAACTTTTCATCCGTTTGACAGCACACGTGTTACAAATCGTCACAACACAAACAATGTAATATAACACGCTACATTTTCTCACAACGCAAACAATTTATGAAACGCCTGCATTTTCCCACAACACATTCAAATAGCACGGAACACGACAGAAATGTTTTAAGAGGACCCTAAAACGTGATGGACCTGGCTATTTAGGTTATGGTTATTTAGGCTAATAAATAGAAAAAAAACAAGAGAATCAGGATGTTAAAATAAACAAACAAAAACTCACCTTTCAAAGATCAACTACAACTTCACTGAGCAATGGTCACGGCACAGCAGCGTCCACCAAATTTTTGGGTCCCCTTGAAACATTTCCATTGTGTTCTGATGTTTTTGAAAGTGTTGTGAGAAAATGTAGTGCGTTTTTAAAAACTGTGTATGCGTTGTGAGGATTTGCAGCGCGTGTGCTGTCAAACGGATGTTTTCTTAATTTTGCAGCACGTTTAGCTCGTTCGCCCACCATATAATATACTTGAAAATATATACGTAAATAGTCATTTTTGCAATATTTTGAAATTTATGTTGCATATGACACATTTCCTATGTGAAATCCAAACACAAACTTGTGTGTATTACATGCAATTTGCATATATTGCCATATATTAGATTTCTATATGGGGGGAAATAGAAACAGTTTAATTTAAACATAGCACCACATAGCAAAATTTCTCTGGCCCAGATCTGGTCCACACAATCAACTTTTTTTGGCCAACATGCCGCAGTGAATCACGGTACATGATTGGACCAATTCCAGCTTCAAGACAAGGGCCAAACATGGACCATATCTGGGCCATGTTTTAGCCAAGTTATTAACCCATAACTGGGCCAGATATGTTGGTGTGTCACGAATGAATTTGATAATTTGATAAACCCATAAAGCATTTGGCTTAATGCCATGCTTCTTCACGAAGTGACCTGATTGGTAAAATTCTTTCTTTACTCAAAAATAATTTAAATGTATTTTAAAAGTGAGTCAAGACAGGCCAAACTTATGTGGCCCACATATAAAATTTTAACATCTGGCTAAATATGGTGGTGCCACCTCTGCGAAACCCAGGCTATGTTTGGCCCACTTGCTGTATGCCAGTGCCGGATGAATGCAAGCTGTGCCAGCTTTATGCCAAATCTGGGCGAGAATTCTTTGCTACCAGGGAAGTGCCTTTATAGCCAATCACATCACAGCCCTAATGTCCTCTGAATTGTGCAAGAGCCAGTCACTTTTTGTGGAGACCAATGGTTGAAGGGAACACCCAAGCTGACTGTGCATCTACAACCATAATTATATGCATTTGAATAGCAGACTTCAGCAGATGACTTCGTTGAACACAATCATAGATATATACATATATATGGAACACAATACCAGACCAAGTTATGCTATCTTACATGACTTTAAAAAAAGTACCAAATGTAAAATAACTATAATCCTCAGAAATTATGGTAAGTCAATACACATAAAAATATTTCAATTACAAAAAATACTGGATGGTTTTGCTACACTAACCACAGTTAAATTGTATTTGTGGTAAAACTATATAAATAAACACATGACAATTTAACAAAGGTTAATATTTGTAGTCTTTATACTGTAGGTAAATGACACACAGTTTCGTTTTGTTGACAGCTATCTCTTTAAAAGGCCACAAAGACAAAAGCTACACTCTAAATTCACTGAACAATGTCAAAACCAAATTGGCGTGCGCTGCTAAACAGTCTTTATGGCTTTTACGTCACTACTACTGACCGGAAGTATTCCTCGCTGTTTAACCCAGAGCAGATCATTTGCGTTCCCACGATGTTTCGAAGATATTAATCAGGATTTTATCATTTTTAATCATTTCATCTAGTTTATTAACAGTACATATTTATTGAAACGCAGTGCTGAACGCTTAAACGTTAATCATGTCGAGTCGCATTGCTTTCCAGACTCAGTTAGCTTCCATTATGGAGGTGCTGGCCAATGCAGCTGTGGCTGAGATATGCAAACTCGTTGACGACGATTACGCTGTTATAAACTTACAGATGAGCCAATGTCAGCGTGAAAACAAAGCGCTGAAAAGAAAACTTCATGTACTGGAGCTGAAGATGGCTCGGGGGTTTGCAGAGAGGAGGATCAGTTCGCTGAATCGCGCTAACCGGGTTCAAGTGAGCACCGCTTTGTCAGACAAATACCGGAACCAAAGCAACGGTGTGTTATCATGAAGATTAGGCTGTATGATATTATTCAAGCGTCTCTAACTCATGTTGTTTACTCTAAACGCTAAAGAGGTTAACGTACTATGTGTTGTGTTGTTTTTCTTGGTTTTCGTACCTTCAGACGGCCTGTATGGAAATCAGTTTAACACGGGACTTTGGAGAGGTGGAAGGACAGACTCAACTCCTCAGGAGGCTGTAAATGAAAGTGACAGTGGGGTAAGTAGGCTGTTATCTCTTTAAGCATAGAAACTATTGACAAATACATTAGAAGATAGACTGCCATACAATAATCAATAAAAGATGGGAGTATAATAGGATGAGTAAAATTAATTCATATGTAAACAAAAGAAGATGGATAGCTGGGTGGATGGATAGACATACGTATGTACTTTAGGTAAATGTTGGATGTATATACTTCAATAAAGACAAGTACATGATTGATTGATAGGTGATTTTCATACACGAATGATGGCTGGATTAGTAGAAAGATACATAAATGTTGCACATACAAATCTTCATCTGTGTTGGAGTATATTTATGAAACATTTATTTTCCTGAAAGGCAGGAGATGCAGTTTTACCAGATGCAGAAACTTTACTGATAAAGGATGAGATGTTTGAGGACCACCAAACACAACAGAGACTGTTCATCAGAGATGATGGTGAGTCGGTGAAAAGCATAAGCCATCTATTATAGACCTCACAGAGGTCGTGTAACCAAGAATACTTATTTTAATGCTTGTTTCTTTTCCTTCAGGAATAACAGAGACTTCACAAACTGGAGAGCCAGGTTTTGGTGATGTTCAGAAAGATGATGATCAGGTCTCAGGGATGCAGCACACGAATTTGGAGGTCAGTGGATCTGACACTGCGGTTAAATCTGAGTTTCAGAATGTTAAGGGGATTTCCCAAGAGCCCATAGAATTACATGGCGAAGCAAAGTTTGATTTGAATGGAAAATCCAGTCCTATGAGGGATTATTTAATGCAAGGGAGTGACAATGCAGACTTGCGGCAGGGATCTTGCGCATACATAAACAATGCAACGCCAACTGAAAGCCAACCCACAGGCTCTGTACAGTGTTCAGAGGTAATAGAGGTCGACTCTGCAGAGGAGGGGGAAGATGTTCCTGCGTGGGCTAGCCAAGTAGCACGAGGGAAAAGCCAAGCTTCACATGTCTATCCACAATTTGGGAGGGAGGAACATCAGGATAGCAGGATCTTCTTACCTTCTTCCAATCCGCATCTGGTGTCTAGTGGCTTTGCTGCAGTCCCATCAACATCTTCAAAAATACAGGACACTGACCTCTACCACAATATCACAGATGTCAGTTTTAACCAACAATGCCGGACTAGAATCAATAAAGTTCCTCGCGAAAAACTTTTTTCGTGCACATATTGTGGAAAGGTTTTCAACCGGCCTAAAAAGGTGATCATTCACCAGCGGATTCACACGGGTGAGAAGCCGTTCAAATGTAACACCTGCGGAAAGTTCTTTTCAGAGGCGGGAAACCTGAGAAAGCACCAGAAAGTCCACACAGGAGAACGACCGTATAGTTGTACGCAGTGTGGACAGTCATTTGCTTGGATACGAAACCTTAAAAACCACCAACTGAAATACCATCCTGATATGTTAGCTGCAGAAGAACTACTTTCTCTAGGAGGTGTCAATAAATGATCACCAGATCACTGCTTATGAATGTGTATTATACCACCATCATCATGTCCTATCTGGAGAAAGACTTTCTTTAAATTATGTACATGATTTACTTTGTTTTTGAGTCAGTGTGTTTTCTAAAACTAGCAAATTCAGAGCAAAGCTCTGTTCTGTGATGTACTGTAGAAATAATGAAAAAACTAACAGCTTCGTTGAAATGTTTGCAGGTAGTTTTTGGTATTTAAAAAGTGTTTAACGTGTTTAAATAAACATTTTTGCACTGATTTTGTGTTTGATTTTTGAACATTGTGTATTTTTAGAGCCAGTGTTTGTCTATCGTGTTATGGGTCTAATTCAAAAGAATGCAGATGTAGGAAACAATTATTTTTATGAAAACATTTGCTTGTCATAAATTAAGCATTTACTCAGGACAGTGAGAACATTTAAAACATTTCCAAAATACATTCACCAATGTGCACAGAAAAACTATAATA